GGAATATATATAGACTGAGGGCACAAGATGAGTTGAATATGAAGGGATGATATCTGAAAAGTAATATATTAAGGGATAAGAGAGAGGAATGTACTGGGAGGAGAAAGGGAGAGGTAGAATTGGGTAAGTTATCTCATATAAAAGAGGCAAGAAAAAGCTTTTACAGTGGAGGGGAAAAGGGAGGAGGTGAGAGGGAATGAGGAATCTTTTTGTTTTGTTTTGTTTTTTTGGTTAGGCAATGGGGTTAAGTGACTTGCCCAGGGTCACACAGCTAGTAAGTGTTATGTGTCTGAGACCGGATTTCAACTCAGGTCCTCCTGACTTCAGGGCTGGTGCTCTATCCACTATGCCACCTAGCTGGGAAGGAATAACATATACATTCAGTTGGGTATGGAAATCTATCTTACCCTGCAGGAAAGTAAGGGGAAACAGAGTACGAGAGGGGGTATGAAAGAAGGGAGGGCAGAGTTGGGGAGGGGGTAATCAGAAGAAAACACTTTTGAGGAAGGACATGGTTAAAGCAGAGAACAGAATAAACTGTTGAGGTGGGATAGGATAGAGGTAAATATGGTTAGTCTTTCACAACATGACTTATGGAAGTGTTTTGCATTACTACACACGTATAACCCTATATCGAATTGCTTGCCTTCTCATTGAGGGTGAGTGGGGAGGGAGGGAGGAAGGGGAGAAAATTTGGAACTCAAAGTTTTAAAAATGAATATTCAAAATAATTTTTACATGCATCTGGGAAATAAGATACAGGCAGTGGGGTATGGAAATCTGTCTTGCCCTGCAGAAAAATAGAAGGGGAAGGGAATAAGGGGGGAGGTGATAGAAGGGAGGGCGGATTGGGGGAAGGGGTATTCAGAATGCACTGCCATCTTGGGGTGGGAGGAGGGGAAAGATGGGGAAAAAATTTGGACCTCAAAATCTTGTGGAAGTGAGTGTTGACGACTAAAAATAAATTAATAATAAAATTTAAGAAAGAAAAAGATTATTATAGTAGTCTAGAGTAGGGGTTGACAAACTAAAGGGCTTGACAAACTAAAGGGCTGGAGAGTAGTATTTTAGGCTTTGGGCTGAAAGGCAAAATCGAAGCTGTTATGTTGATATTGATATAACAAGAGAGAAGACATTTCTGGAAATATTTTACTGATGAATTTAAAAATATAATAGAAATAATTAAATACAATTTTTTTGTAGTATAGGTCTACCCATTAGAAGAATGGAATTCTTTTGGGGATGGGGATGGAAATAACTGCTGAATTTGCTTCAAAATGAGTGTTCTTTATTGAAATTGATTGCAGATGTTCTTGTTAATGCAGATCAGTAATGAGATTTTGTGTATTTCATTTTTGAAAATATCTTTTTACACAAGTAATACTGCCAAATACTGATATTAGGCCATGAGCATGTAATTTTAATTGAATATATTCATCACTTGGAAGGCACTTATAGAAGTGCATTTGCACAGTGAGATGAATTTTGAAATATGAAAGTTTCTTTTGCACTTGCATCAAGGTCCAAAAAATGTTTCTGGAACTGTAGTTTGAGTTTAGAAAATATGTCTATCTGTTACAAATTTGTGTGGTAATGGAGATCTCACTTCTTGTTTTAACTTTTGATAGCTCAGGAAATATATAAAGCATCTTGATATTACTTGTGATTCAAACAATGTTGGTTGTTATGGATTTGACTTTACCATAGCATAAATCTTGCACATAAGTGCTGTTTTGCCTTGTAATTTTATGTTGAATTCATTAAGAAACATGAACAAATCTTTAATAGAAGCTAATTTTCAAAGCCATTCAGAGTCTGAGAATAATGCCCTGAACCCCTAGAATAAAAAAAAAAATAAAAACAACCAAAGACCATTTTTCTCTTATTTTCTCATTTTAACGCAACAGATATGCACTGATTAAAAAAAAAAGTTTCACTACAGCAATATACATGGCACCCAAAATGCTGGCAAGTTACAATTGTGTCACTGTGATTTGTAGTGCACTGAACAGCAGTATTAAGCTATGATAGTGTCACATATGGTCTCTGTCACAGCTAGTCAACTCTGCAGCTATGGGAAAGCGTATATAAACAATACATAAATCTGAGCATGGCTGTGTTTCAATACAACTTTATTCATGGACATTGAAATTTTAATTGTATGGGGCAGCTAGGTGGCGAAGTAGATAGAGCACTGGCCTTGGAGTCAGGAGGTCCTGAGTTCAAATCCGATCTCAGACCAGACATTTGACACTTACTAGCTGTGTGACCCTGGGCAAGTCACTTAACCCCAATTGCCTTGCCAAAAAGAGAAAAAAAAGAAATTTTAATTGTATAACTCATCTTCACATGTCACAGAATATTATTTTAATTTTTTTTTAATCTTTTAAAAATATAAAGACCACTCAGCCTGCAGGCCATACAAAGATAGGTGGTAGTCCAGATTTGGCCCTTGGGCTGTAGTTTGCCAATTCCTGATCTAGAATATAGAGGTAAAAGATATTGTGGAAATAGAATTAATGAGACTTGGCAACTGATTGGATATAGAGATAAGCGAGTGGGAAGAGTCAAGGATAACTGAAGTTATGAACTTAGTCCAGTGTTTTCAAGTCACTTTCAAGTCAGCCAAGGTCCTGTAAGACAGTATTAGACCTGGCACCAGAATCCATGTCACTTAATTCCCAATACCCTACCTCCATTATACTAGACCTGGCACCAGAATCCATGTCACTTAATTCCCAATACCCTACCTCCATTACACTCAACATTGTATATAAATACAAGCATTTAGTAGCAGCATAAGGTAGTTATACGAAAGATCTTAGAAGGTAGTATATGAGCAAGTGCTAAATGTATAATACTAACAAGTGCAGCAAGATTTCAGAAGAAGAGATTGCTACTGGCTGAAATGGTCAAGGAAGACTTCATAAAGATGGTGGCTTGTGAGCTGAACAATCAATAAGATTTGGGTAGGTAGCAGTGGGAAAGGCAGTCCCTCCAGGCTTGAGCAAAAATATGGAGGTGAGAATGTTAATAACATTTTGTAGGGGTGGTGAGTAGACTCATTAGTCTGAGTTTAGAAAGAGAATTCAAGGCCAGAGCATGGATAGCCATGGTTTTTTTTTATCTTTTAGTTATGAGAAGCCATTGAAGGTTTTTGAAAAATGAAGATTAATCAGTGGTGTGTAGAATGAATTAGATAGGAGAGAGACTGTAGGCAAAGATCTGTTCATGATGATGATTTTTCATTCCTGCTACCATCCTTTTACCTTTTGTTTCAATAATAATTTAATAGTATGAAGAGTGATAGTATAGATTGTATATTTGGTTGTTTAAAAGATTTTTAGGAAAAATATGTACTTTTTGCTCTAAGATGCATAGTAAATGAATTCTATGTAGTTAAAAACAAAAGCAAGTTATAGGAAGAGATTTAGTTTTAATTTAAAATCTAATTTGCATGATTGAAAGTGTCTGTTTTAAAGTTCATAACTGCTCTGTTAAAGAATGATTCTTAGGTAATAATGGTTGAAAGTTTAATGAGTTTGCCCTCCTCTCTCCTTCTGTTATACTGCCAGTGAGCTAATTAACTTTCTAACCACTCTTTCATCTTTGGAATTTCTGTGGAATCCCTGGATTCTCTGCCACTCTGCTCATTTCTCATTTATTACTCTATTTGTTATCCTGATGGATCTGTACTTAGCCAACTGTGGTAGAAAATAGAGGCTCAAGTGTTGCAGATACATTAAGGCACGTTAGAGAAAATGGAGGAATACAGTGGAAGGAACACTGGATTTGGGAATCAAGTTCTGGATTCTAATCTAATTACTGCCAGTGTGATCTTGGGCAACTCAGCCTTTTGGTTAATTGAGTAATAATTAGTAATTACTCAGTTTGCAGTAAAAATGAGGGGGTAGACTAGATGATCTTTGAGTTTCTTCCAGTTCTGAATCTCAGAGCCTTTGCAATTTATTATTTTTGATTGGGTGGTTGGTAATAGTAAAGATTTTATTTGTCTTGAGTTGATGAATTTGGCTTTCAATTAGCATGAATTTGAAAGTGGAGGAGGTCAAGTATTGGAACTAAAAATGTTATCAGGCCTTTTCTAAATTCAGTTTTGTTTTATTTTCAGTTCTGAATTCTGCTCCTCCCTCCTTTCTCTACTTGAACAGTTGAGAAGGCAAGAAAAACAAAACCCATTACAAATAGGTATAATCAAGGAAAAAAAATTCCTGCATTTGCCATGTTCCCCCTCCCTTCCAAAAGAAAAGAAAAAAATATGCTCCGATGTGCCCTCTGATGAGTCAGTCTGTCAGCTCTCTGTCTGGAGGTGGATAGAATATTTCATCATGAGTCCTGTGGAATTGTGATTTGCCATTGTGTTGATCAGAGTTCTTAATTTTTTCACAGTTGATTATCTTTATAGTATTGCTGTTACTGTATTTTTTTTTTCCTGGATCTGCTCACTTCACTTTGCATCAGTTTATATAAGTTTTCCTAGCATTTTTTTGAAACCATGAATCAGGCCTTTTGCAGATAGTAGTAGAGAGGTTGTGGAACACCAAAGAAGAGCCATCAGCACTTTAATCCATACTGGAAAGTTACAGCTTTCCTTGTATAGTTTAGATTATAAGAATATAGGCCATAGGTTAGACATACTAATGGAAAATAACTGTTGTATCTGTTTGAAGGGAAGTCAGCTTTATTTTGTTGGTTTAAAAGGAAATGTGATGTCCTGGTATGTCATAAGGAAAAAAATATTTTGGTAAGGATTAGATATAAAATGTCCTTATCCTCTCTTGTTTTGTGATCTTTTTCTTTAACAGTTAGGTTTTGCTGATTCTTTTTGTTATTTTACATTAGTCATTTCTGTATCTCCTCCCCCAAAACGTGTACACATTGAACTTGTTACCTTCAACAAAGGAAAATAGTTAAGCCAAACTAACCAGCATAGCAGCTGTGTTTGACAGTGTATGTGACGTTCTGTTGTGCATCTTTTCTAGGACCTTATGGACAGCAGCCTGCCAACCATGTCATCATCAGGGACGTTACCGGGACAATGATGGAGACCTGGCTCTGGGCATGCTGGCTGGAGCAGCCACTGGCATGGCTTTGGGATCTTTGTTCTGGGTCTTCTAGTTTCTCTACATCTTTGTATTTGTAGCTTCCAAAACCTTTATTTATTTTCTGTGTGCGATAATATATTTGCAAGGTATTCCTGTTTCACTGTAAAGATTTTTAATGACAGTTACAATAGTACTTTTAAAATAGTGACATCTTAATTATAATTAGTCAGTATAAATTTCACAAGGCAGGATTGTAAGTGTGCAGTTCAGTTGAAATATGAATTAAAAGGATACTTGATCATTTCAAACTCTTTTATGGAACTTAGTTGTATAAGAAGGACTTATATGAGCTCATTCATTTTGAAGAACATTATCACTGCAGTGTTAAATGCAGAGCATAAGAGATAGTTTTTTCATCCATATTAGAATGACCCCTGAATAGGTGATTATTTCTGGCAGGGAAAAACTCAATTAATCCAACTGTTAACTTTTAACTTAAGAATTAACCATGGAGTAGTCTGGGTGTTGCTGTTGGCGTGGCAGGATGGTAAACTATGCATGATAAAGCAATATAGACTTTTTGCACTACACACTCCAAAGAATAGTCCCCAAGGTAGTGGTGACACTCCATATACCTCTGTAGTTGGCTCTGTCATTATCCAGTGGTGCTCTCCTGGCGGGCATGTTTTCTCTGTTGTGAATGGATTTATTGAATCCTAGATATTGGAACTAGTAAGTTTCTTGTAAAGAGCTACCAGTCAGGACAGATTCTTGTCAATGGGCTGGAAATCTGCAGTTCTTTGACATAGTTCTCAACCATGGAGAGTTTTAAAAGCAGTTCAGAAGCTGAGGTGAATGGGTTTTTTTTTTTTGAAAGGTGGTACTACCCATGCATTTAAAAGGTGACAGACATGGCTTTTACTTTCTTAACTTTTATTTAATGTGGTGAAAACATATTCAAAGTTCAGATCTCCATTGAGTGCACTTTTATATTGTGTATCTGAGCCATCCCCTCTCTTTTCACCTTGTTTTGAAAAAAGTATACGTTACCAGTATACTAGTAGTGCTTTTGGTTTTATCTGGTTGGCCAGCTACAGAATATTGTTCTAGGGGTGGAACAGACTGAAGGCATTTGGAGTCAGTCAAAGGAAGGAAGAAGAATTAAAATCAAACTCAGGGTTATTAGCATAAATGTTGAGTTCTTGATCATTTTGCAGAGTTGAGATAAGGTGGAAGGATGAGGGAGGCTAATGGGAAGAATTAATGACAGAAAATGATTATAGAAATTAGTAAAGCGGTTTGCTTGAATGCGTGCAACTAAATCTGTATCTTGTTATAGATCTAATTAGATCAGTAAACATATAGCTGATTTAGTCTTATTTCATGTGACTTTCAGCTAAAACTTTTATTTTTGCCAACAACTTTTAACATACTTTGACAAGGTGTGTACTCTTCAATCCCATTTTAATTTTTGTGATACAACTCTTACGAGAGTTTGTCTCATCCTCATGGATAATATAATCTTTTTTCATGGACCATTTGATAAAATCTGCTTTCCTTTACTTGAAAATCCACAATGTTTTATTCTCCAAATCTACGCTTATTTGAAGATGAGAAAGCAATAGGAGGGAAACAAGGGCTCAGGGAAAGAATGTACATCATTGTGAACAGTCATTCCAGAATTTTTAATGGTAGGATTGCCGCATGTGTAGATTGCATGTTTTTTTGTTTCTTATATTGTCTGTAGTTCAGGTATTTTTGCTGCTTCCTAAACTTTTAATTGAAATTTACTTAAAATCTACTAAACTGTATTTAAGATGTCAGGGAAATAGGATGAGAGCCATGTTTGTAATGTTAAAGTAACTCAAGATTGTCTTAGGTAGCACTTTGCAAATGATGCTGTTATCTTTCTCTGAAAGATGTAAGAAGTTGATGATTGCACTGTCATGACTAACTAGAGTTATGTTAGAGGAATGTAAAGTAATTTAACATATATATAATAATCGGTGGAAGGATAGCTACTCTATTTGACCAAGTAGACTGGCACATTTGTTCTCATTAATTACCATTCAGAGTTTACAATTTGTGGATAAGCTTCTTTGGAACCCAGTTAATGAAATTATATAAAAGAATAAAAGAACCGAAATCTAAAAGGTAAACCTAAGACACATCAGGCAGCTAACACCGTACAGCGATTTGATCATTCCTTAATTCGTTAAAGAAATATTTATGGAATGCCTGCCATGCATAAGACAAATCTGTAGTTAGTCCTATATTATTTCCTAATTTATATGACTTTTCCTTATTTTCTGTGATGTATGATTTATTTTAAACTAGTTTTAGAGTTTGAGATTTTCCCTTGTCATGGTATAGTGATGATAATTCCCATAAAGTCCATTCTTTGTCATGAATTTTGTTTTGTGTTTTGGGTGACAGATTATATATCATTTTTTCCTCCTAATTAACTAGTTCTATGTCTTATGAAATTTAACACTCCATGTCAAATTGAAAGCCAAACCAACTCTATAATGAACCCTTGGATTCTTGGCAGTTCCTGTAGGCCTTTTTTTTTTTTAAACTGAAGATATCTGCTTCAGCTGACAGGAAATGTACATGAGTGCCATCTCACTTAATATTTGATAGTTGGGGGAAAAAGTCATATAAGATTTGATTGTGTAATCGATTGATGCTTTAAAATCATTGCTGTTAAGACTTTGAATTGTATGTAATAAGAATGTTAAAATTATAACAATTTAGACAATGTAGTTTATGTGAATCCTCTAAAGTACTGTGAATTAAAGGGATGTATTTGCAATAAAGCAGCTTTGAATGTTGCAGTGGATTGGTTGTTAATATGAAACTCAGTGAAAGCACTGTGTCACTGCCTCGTTGTCTGCATCGTAGGACTAAAATATCTGTAAATACACACTGTACTCTTATCCCATTATCCAGGGTATTTTATAACTCAGAGGACCAAAGGATATGTAATTTCAGCATGTAATTTCCCTGACTCCCTTTGGGCTTGGAATGGCAACTCTATGATAGAGCATGAAGGCATTATTATGTTTTAGCCTGAGGGACTTTGGCCTTTAGAAGAGCCAGGTCTTTGGGTGAGCTTCTCTAAAGCTGTGCCTTTCATCGAGTTCGTCAGAAACTTCACAAGCATGTTTTTCCTTATCTTTGTGTAACTACTTGCATTCATGGTCACCAAATTTTAGAGGGATTGTTTAAGAATGTAGCCTGCCACCATCAGTTTACACGCAGGAATGCACAGGCCCAGAAAGGTAAAGAAAGTGACTTGTCCAAGATAATAATTAGCTGGTGGCTGAACAGGGATAAGAGCCCAAATTTCCTAATTCCCAGGTCAGTGCATTTTTCTGTCTGCCAAGTGTAGCTAAGTTGCTCATGTTTGAGTTGCTAGTGACTTTACCTTAATATGAAACAAATGCAGTACATTTGGACAGTTTCTAAAATCTCATTCTCATATCTCTAATACTGTTGATACCAGCTTCTTGATAGTGCTTTTGATCAATTACCTTTCTATATGGTGCTTTGCATAAATCATCCTAACTAAAGAAATTACCAAACTAAGAGGTTCTTTGGGTTTGTACATCTGGGAACGTTTATTACCTTTTACATTCCTTCCCTTCCCTTTGCATTTTTCTTTTTATTAGAACTAGTCCTGCCTGGAAAAGAAGCTGACCACTTGTTATTACACATGTTATTCTTTATGTTGGCTCTAATGTTTTGTTTCCTTGCTTTGTGTCAGGATTATGAGTCAGGAAGGGTAGAGTTGAACTGAGTAAGTTAAAGGGAAAGTATGTTTTTGGCCTCAATGCAGATTTTCCCTCAGAACTCAGGGAGAATGGTCTAGATAGTAAAAATATGTCTTCCCCAACCCAACTATCTGTCTCCTCAGAGAGAGTACAGTGTAGGTTTAAGGCAACTGAGTTCATAAAAGGACAAAATGCTAGTTTTTGAGATAAGATGCAAGTGATGCAAATTTCCTATCTTCATTATTCTGGATATCTCTCCTATCACAGCTTTTGCAAACACTTTTAGAAAGCAGTGAAATCTCTTTGCCCGAGATTCTTTCCTGTGATTGCCATCTTGCCTCCACCGTATTGTTTCTGTTGTGCCCATGAAACTTGTTTTTCTTCTATGCAGAATATGCATTTATGTAGAAAATAGTGAAAGTGTTAATAAAATGAGTGTTGAACTGCAAACTTGTGTATTGTGATTAGTTTACTTATCTGAATTCTTTATCTATGCCTGTGTGTTCATTCTTCTTGTTAAAATTAACATGAAAACAGGTATATAAAGAATGAGTCATTAACCTGGAGGAGAATAGAGCTCAGATCTAGAGCTCTCATATCTATCTGTTCCCTGATTTCGCCTTACTGTTTCTTGGTATCAGTCATCATCGCCTTATGACTGGTATTCATTCCCTCCACATCTTTGCCTGTTGAAATGCCCTGTGTTTCCTCTTGGCTACATCACAAGTTACTGTATTATGCCAATTTTTGTACGTGCTGATCTTATAAAGGGCTTTGTCAGTTTTTAGTTTTTTATTTATGATGACGTCTTGCACAGTTATTTGGAATTGACTGCTCAGAAAGACAGTTTTTAAAAAGTGATCATCACCTTCCATAAACATAATTAATGAATGATAAACAATGAGCGAAACCCACCTATAGACTCATTCTAAGCTAGCTGACCCAACAGGTTGTGCAAAAATTGCTAAGGCCTGATTTATGTTGACATTTACATTAAAAAATAAATTGGAATTTTAATTGGTTCCATACATTATATGAGCTGTTTAAAACTCTTAGTTCACTTACATTTGCATAGCACTTATTCATTAATAAAGTAAGGGGGCTGCAAATTACATGTAAATTGCTGGTTTATATGCACAATGTAAATATTGTGTCATAGAAGTTTTAAAAGTTATTCATTTATCACTGGGCAGTTGACTGGAGTGTAATGGAAGGGCACTGGACAAGAAATTTAAAAAGAGGGTCCTCACCCTCATTTACTTATGTGTTAGTGGGCAAGTCATTTCCCCTTTCTGAACCTCAGTTTCTTCATCTGTAAAAGGAGGTGGCTGGACTAGATGATTTCTAAGGCCCTTACCAGCTTTTTCCAATCTTAACTTTTTTATGTCGATGAATTTAGACTTAGAGAAAGGTGTTAAGCTGTGCTTGGAACAATTCCTTCCTTCAAAGCTCAGAGGTATAGTCCTATTGGGGAAGTTTAAATTTCCTTTTTTTTTGCATTCAGGACACTCCACAATCTTACAACCCATTAACTTTCCAGCCTTATAATTAACTAGTCTATACTCCTTATGTTCCAGTCAAACTGGAACCATTGTAGACCATGAGAATGCTGTAGACATAATTTACCTTGGTTTCAGCAAATCTTTTGACAAAATCTATCATATATTTGAGGATGAGATGGAGCTATGTGAACTCAAAGGCAGGAGGAGAGGTGGGAAGTGGAGGTGAGGCAAGGAGATTCTCTCTCACCAGTCATTGTTTAGTCTGCTATACTACAGTCAAATAGAAAGGATATGGCTTTGCTCAGCTCCAAGGTTAGCTGCGACATGACTTTGAACAGTAGCAGTCAGTCTTTGTAGAGAGGAGAGGAATGCCAGTGCTCAACAGTGCCAAAATGGAGGACAACCTCTGAGATCTCTTCCAACTCTGAAATTCAGTTATTCTGTAATCTTTGGAGAGTGCCCATGCTCCAAAGTTACTTCTAACATCGAACCTTTTTCAATACCCAAATTTCAGCCATCTACAGAGGAGAAATCTTTTTAAAGTTTTAGGGGCTACAGGTGATCTGATAATGATGGTGAATGTCTCAGTGAAATAATGTCCGTGAAAGTCACCTTGGAAAGCATGAAGCAATAGGTATTGAACAAATGCTGCAAATGGACAATGAAGTTGGCTCAGAGTGGCTCAGTAGAAGAGTAGACCAGGGTTCATTTGGGAAACCTCCCAGCACTTTCAATAATCCCTATTTGCTCCCAGCCACAAAAGCCATTTTATTTTCTTAACATTTAATTTTTATCAATTCATTTTCTTTTTACATCCTATTCATTTCCAAATATATCTCTCCACCTTTCTCTCTTCCGTCTTATTAAACCATCCCTTTTAGCAAAGATTTGTGAAAGATAGAGGGGGAAAAATGTTTTGGTAAGCTATGTAACACCTTTGTTTAATTTAATAGTTCCCATAGTTCCTCACCACTGAAATGAAGAGAAGAAGATGCTTTTTCTCAGTTGTCTTCCTGGGGCCCAGGTTGGTCAATTAATAAATTGGTCAGACATTATTTGCCAGGCACTGTATTAAGCACTGGGGAGTACAAAAAAAGGGCAAAAGACAGTCATTGCCTTCAAGGAGCTTACAGTCTAAAAGGAGAGACAACATGCAAACAAATATATGCAAAGCAAGCTATATACAAGATAAACAGGAAATAAGTCACTAAAATCAAGATAGATTGGGGGCTTCCTGTAGAAGGTGAAATTTTAGTTGGTACCAGTTCATAAAGTGTGTTCAATAAAGAGTGTTCAATTTTGTCTGTTATTTTAGGTTATGTTATTGTAGTTGTGCATATTCTGCTCCTGATTTTGCTTGCTTTAGTCTGCATCAGTGCATGTAAGTCTTTCTGTACTTTTCTGAAGTCTTCACGTTTGTCTTTTCTTATAGCATAATTCTATTCTATTGCATCCATGTGCCTCTACTTTATTAGTTGTTCCCCAAATGATGGTGGGGGGGGGAAGAATGACTTTTGTTTCCAGTTTTTTGATACCACAAAAAGTGCTGCTGTGAATATTTTGTTGTCTAAGAAACCTTTAAAAGTGTATCTCTTTAATGCTTTATTTTCTTAGTGATTCTGTGTGGTTATGAATGAGATGAAGTAAAATGACAAATAACCTAAAGAACAATGGAAAGAGGAATGGTAGACATAAGGAGGTGATTCTAGGATGCCAACAATTTGGTGAGAAGTAACATAAAGGACAGTATCATAGCTGTCTATGAAAAATAGGTGGCTTGGCCTTCTAGTAAGAATGGGAGGTGACAGCCTGATAGTTACCATGTCTCCAACTATTAAAAGAGCAAGAAGAAGGCTTCTGGTACATTGAGTAGAGCTTTATGGAGGATTTATGGCAAAAGATGGGCATAGAAATGAGAAGGCATGAAGAGGTTGTGAATCATATCAGTGGAGGTAATACCGAAGGGACCTCAGAACACCAAAATGTTGTCTGAGGCATGACTCAAGGCAACTATGATATAGTTCCAAGGGATACATAATCAACTGATTAGGTGAGAAGATGGGCTGTATCCTACACTTCCTTAGATAGCCAGTTGTGGGTCTTTCTCCCCATATAACTAAACCCACCCTTCACACATTACAGACTGACATTCCCCTACTCCTTGCCTTCATTGTGCAATTCCCAACCTCCCCCCTTCTGCACTGATAGTAGACCCTAAAGGTAGTTATAACTTAATTGCTACTGGGCCCCAACAAAAGTACAGTGCCGGGGCTATTGGAAAAATTCCTTTTCCTTTACACCTAGGGTACCTATATCTTGTCTGGCATAGTATCTTGAAGCTACAACTAGAACCCCTTGAAGGATGGGTTCTATGCTCGGAGGTGATTCAAGCCAGTATGAGCTAGATGTTAGTAAGAGCTCTCCTTCCTCCCTCTTTTTGTTTTGAGTGGGACAGAGGGTTTCCCATAATAGTACATGTATATAATTAATTAATAATTAAATATACACATATTGATAAATTCTCAAAAAGTATTTACTGATAGAGGTGAAGGACCAAAGCAG